TTACTTCTAAGACCTGGTTGGAACGAAAGGTCCTCTGCAGTATTATTGATGCTAATTTGCAGCGTCGACCTCTTGTTATGCCCGTTCACATGCTCTCATGTGTAAAATAACAATAAAATGGATTGCGAAATAGTTAATAATTGATTTAAGAAGGACATAATTTTAATATCATATTTGTGGCAATAAAAATCCGGCTACTAGCCAACTTGTCAACTTTTGAAGCAAGCAGCCTCAAGGCATAAGAGATGCAAAGATCACTATAGCTCAGTAAAGAAGTCTTTAGAGAAGCCACATAAAACATTACAAACATTTTTTTCAATAATTAGAATTTTACATAAGTACACTATATACACTAAACAAATAATACATAATATTTATTTAAATATTTTTATAATAGGCGCATTGTATGAACAATGCATATTTGTCGTGACTTGTCCTCTTTTACGTATGACCTATTACTTAACAATCTGCTTGTTAGACATAAAAGGAGGAGAAGAATTATTAAATATGAAAAACGAAGAAAATTTCGTCAGGCTGCGGCTTCTAATAGAGATTCAAAGCTATCCAGTACACAATTTTATTTAATTTATTCTGAATAAGTGGAAGAGGAGGAACGTCTAAAGGACCCTGATTATCAGTTACTATTGATTATAAGACAACAAGATAGAGAAAAATCTCTAGAGCGACAGTAAGAGCTGATTAAAACGATTATAATAGCCGAATCGCTGAAGAAGATTGGCTTGAAAGAGAACGTCTTAATCAAGAAGAATGGCGTGCCCGTCAAGAACGAAACAAGGAGTATATACATTCAAATGATTTTCGGGTTAAAGCTTTCGTAAGTTATCATTACGATTGCATGTTATTAATTGACTTTAGAAAAGCCCTGACAACGCATTAAATCTGAATGACCACGTCCTACGAGTAATTTGGTTTTTGCATTATCGTATTTTCGTTTCCGTATCTCTTTGTATGTAAATCTCTCCATTATGTCCATCTCTTTGCTAGCCTACTTAATAAATTCTGGTTAGGTACTTTATCTGTTTATGCAAACTATTAATAACATAATTTTGGATTATATTCATTATAGTTCCTTAACTATACAGCCTATTTTTGCCTTGTTATATAGCAATTTAATGTCATATTAATTGTGCTACGGCCTAGACTAATAACTTTTACCCTAACTTACATTTTTGAGCGTGAAATAATAATATGCTTAAAATCACTCTTTTTGTATATCCTTAATATTCTGCTCTTACAAATTATATAAAAATTCAGGCAAAACCCTTGCATATTATCAAGTAACCTCTTAACTTACACCTTAAGGTCACGGATAACTACCTATAACTAAAGAATCTTTGTGTATTATTCATCATTCATGCTTTACATATTATGCAGCAATAGCTGTTCTTATAAAAAAAAGCTGGTTTAGAGCCTATAAGGCCTTTTTTATCTTCTATTTTTAAGTTTATTCTATGATACTTTTTTACTGAGACCGTAAATATAGTCTTCATCGCCATTACTCCGTGACATCGTCTATTCCTTAGCTACTTTTTCTTGTTAATATTTTACACTGGTTCTAGGTTGTAATAAAAATGTTTATTGCTTTGATTAAATAATCTATAATAGTGATATCTTTTCCATCTTTTTTGCCACTTTCATTGTCTAGCATATACGCATTCAAGTAAAATACTGCTTTTTCGTACGTTATTTTTATGCATTTTCAGGCTTTACTTGACTAAATAAAATCTACTTCTGATATATTATTTTCCGCCTTATGTGATAATTACTCATACATACTTACTGTATTACTAACTTATACGATTCTTTTAAATGTTCATTATTATTGTCTCCTTTTCGGCTGTACATTTCTAAGCACAAAGACCATCTAAATGAGAATATACCAAGTATATTATCGCGAGTTTTGCATTGAACCATATTGTTAAATCCCATATGGCTATATTTAGGCGTCAGTCGATCACCTCATCTTATTTTGAATCTACCATTTAGTAGCTCTATTAATTTAGACAAGGGAAATATTTAGGAGTTTCGCTTCAAGTTGTTTCGCTTGCATAAAAATTCTTTATTAATCCTATTCTCAGCCGATAACTACGGATGCTGCGTCTAATGAGCCACCTCCAAGCTCAAATCCACTCGCACCTCCGCATGCACCTATCCAAAGGCTACAATCTCAGCACGGCTTCCAGTCCCTATCTAGACCATCTCTATCTTCTTCAATGGTTTCTTGGTTGGCTGGAGACCTGTTGCATGCACAGAAAGTTTTTCAACAGCAACAGCAGGGAGCACAAATGCACCGTTCTTCCGCTCCACCTCCATTGTGCATGTTCTTTCGAAAGGTTGGAATTTGCCGATTCGGCGACAGGTTAGAATTTATCTTTTTACTTCAAAATAGGCCTTAATAATGGCGTTCAGGATAACCATAATTAAAATAAAATTTTTAGGAGCACATAAATTAAACTCTTTGAGTGTCAGAAAGATTTTGTGAAACGTACCTAGTCCACAACTTATCAAAGTGACAAGTTGTAACTTTGTGCTTACGATGGCACCTCACTGACAATGCCGGAGAAACGGTTGAGAATGTACCCAGCCAATGGTCCAATGCTGAAAATCACGAATACGATAGCAGAGAACAGTGGACTAGGTACGTTTCACAAGGTCTCCCAGACGCTCCGACCAAGTTGCAAAAACGAGGTCGAACCAACATTATATAGCTAAACGAGACTGCGACCAAACAGAAGGCCACAGATTAATTTGATAAATTTGCTTCGAATGTGTAAAAATAGCACTTATATCATAGGTATAAATATCAAGATAGTGTGGGTGTTTGTCTGAAACCTTTACGTGTCCATATATATGCCGATGGTTCTCCACCGTTTTAAAATTGATCTTGCATCACGTTTGCAAAATTAGAAAATCATCTAGTATTTTTATTTCGTGCAACCATAACGCGAAGAAATGATCTAATTGTCTTGTGGACTGCGTAAA